ATTTTTTTATGAATGTTTTAGTAACCTTGATGAAATCGTTGCTTAAATAAAATCACCAGGAGTCGGCAGCGTAACAATTAAGTTGGCTATGCGCATTTACTGGCAGGTTGAGACTATCGGGGATGCTTATATGTGTGTCAGCGGACTGCCTCAGAGGAACGGCGATCAGCACGTCGCTGAGATCTGCAACATGGCGCTGGAGCTCTGCACCGCCATGTCACAGTTAGTAAAAATCCGTGATTTCACAGTGCCTTATCACAGTCACAGTCTTATCACAGTCACAGTTAGTAAAAATCTGTAATTTCACAGTGTCTTATCACAGTCACAGTTTATCACTGTCTTATCACAGTCTTATCACAGTTAAAGTTAGTAAAAATCAGTGATTTCACAGTGTCTTAATCCATCACAAGACCGCCAAATGAAATTTGGAATGAACAATATTTTATTATTCAACGATGGAAATTTTTATTATTATATACTTGCCATTACTGTGCACATTCTTCGTACACTTTGTTATCAGCAGCTTGCCATAGTTAAAATAAAGGTTAACATTTTAAGCGAGGCTTATTTCAAACTTTCAAATATTATATACTTGATATAAAATGCGATATTGCTAGAGTTCACGTGCCACATCTACCGACGATGACGTACCAGATCCGGATAGGCATAAACACGGGGCCGTGTGTCGCCGGTGTTGTAGGGCTGATGATGCCCCGGTACTGCTTGTTTGGTGACACTGTCAACACGGCGTCGCGCATGGAGTCAAACGGATTACGTAAGATTTATATATGGCGTGCGAGTGTAAGGTGATAATGCTGTCATGTTGTTGCTGCTGTTGGAGGTGTTGTTGTTGCTGCTGTTGTTGTTGTTGGTCGTGGTGGTGTGCACGGGCTCAACTCACAAGTTGGTATGCCAGGATGGAGTTTACAGAATGGTTTTTACATTCCCGCGTAACATGAGTCGTGTAATTAGACCACGTGGGCAGTGTGCTCCGGTAAGTTATTCTCTTTTACACACATTCGTTATAGGTAAACCGTACACGGCTCAACCAGTGACGCACCGCCATAGTTTAAGATGAATGGCAGTCATGCAAGCACACGCGCACATCTACTCAAAATAGGAGCATGGAAACATTTTAGAATCAAATTCATGCTGTGGCTTTGTTCGACGTCGCAGACGCTCGTCAATATAGATGCTTTATCTGCACGAATAGGGAATGGATTACCTGCACAGCACGAAATACATTCAGTCGCACGGTAAGCTGACGTCGATGAACTGCGTGGTCGACTCTCGCTGGAACCTGAAGATAACCGGCTATGCGCTACCGGTGTTTGCCAAGCAGCGCTCGTATCCAAGCGGCAACATGGCAGGTGAGATGAGCGCGCGTGCGCGTGCGTGCGTGCGTGCGTGCACGCGTGCGTTTATTCGCCCGAGGTGCTCCTTGTGATTTAATAATTTATTTTATTCATTTATTAATTTATTTATTGCTTGATTTATTTATTTATTTATTTGTTTATTTGTTTATTTATTTATTTATTTGTTTCTTTCTCTCTTTCTTTCTTTATTTATTTATTAGCTTCCTTGAATTATTTATTCAATTTTACTGCAAAATTCAAGTGACAACACGAAATATTTGTCACGATGCCATAATCAAATTAGCTCACACATACACAACAGCGCGCGAAAATTACACTCGCAGCATACCTGTGGACGGCACCAGAGTTACTGCGCGACCCATTGGTCTTACGTCGAGGAACCAAGGCAGGCGACGTCTACTCATATGCCATCATCCTGCACGAAATCCTGACCAGGAACGGACCGTTCGGTGACTGCGTTCTAACCGCTGAGGGTAAGCAGCAACACAGTATGATTGTGATCCTCATTTCAATGATAATAGCTGTAGAGACGGATATACGACATTATAATACAACTGATCCTTTCATGCACTCACAAATATGTGAAAAAACGACGCCCCGGTTGTTTCGTTTAATATTTAAAAACGCCACGCATAGAAATTGCGTGACCCGCTCATCGTAACGAAACTAAGATTATCGAATCGACAAACTTCTGAGCTGCAAACAATAAACTTGCTCAATTTTAACACCAATTACGCTGTAGAATAAGGTCGGATGATAACAATGACTGATTTTGTCCGTGATGATGCTTCACTCGCTGTTCAATGGATGATGTTTGTATTAACTTTTATCATAATGTCATCATATCTTTCATCATAACAATCACCATGAAATGCAGCAACATCGATGCCTTTTAAGAACGACGATAAGTTTATCTATCATAGAAGTAAGATATAATCCGCAAACAGAGAGCTCCCCACGGGAGACGTGGCGTCCGTGAGTTTAATTTGAATTTTGACAAAAATTGGTAAATGAAAACCTTATTAAGGCGATTGAGTTTAATGTTTCATACGACTTGTGATGTGACGTATGATTGTTGAACCACTCTGCTGTGACATTTACGGAGAGTTAATTGCATTGACTAATTGACTAAGTGACTAATTGACTAATTGACTAAGTGCATTGCGGATTTTTACGGAGAGCACATTGCGGATTACGGATTTTTGCTTAGACATTTAGAAGCTATCTGACATCCTTGTGTGTTGTTTTGTTGAATTGAACGTAGGCACCATTGTAAATATAACGCAGCTCTCACGAGATTACCACGAGAGTGTGCTATATTTTAGCAGAATCACACAAAAGCGAGCCTTGCACAATCAACACAGCTTAATGAACACAGCACAGGATTATTGCGTGCGGTCTTGTCAGAGCCTGATCATTAAAAGGCTAGAAACGCCAAATGGTGATTGCGAGTTGTCATGGGCAGAAATGACGCCGACAACGAGCGATGGTGAGAGCAGACAGAAAGAGACAGAGAGAAAGAGACAGAAAGAGACAGAGAGAAAGAGACAGAAAGAGACAGAGAGAAAGAGACAGAAAGAGACAGAGAGAGACGGACAGAAAGAAGATTCTTGCATAGAGAGTGAAACCGATGGCCATATATGTTGACAGAGAGCACGATAATGACAAAAAGATCAAAACATAGCAGAAATGGTGCGTACGTGTGGTACACAAGAGCATGACTTTCTTCCGCAATGAGGCTTACGGTAATTGCTGCCTTGCACCGTGCTTTTCTTCATTTCTTTGCAGAAATCGTTTCCTTAGTCAAGAATCCACTGAATGAGCAGTTCCTCCGGCCGAATCTCATGGACGATAATGTTTGCTGCTCAGCTGGGTTGCGACAGCTTATAAAAAACTGCTGGCAGGAGGAATATGACCAGCGACCGACATTCCGTCAAATCAAGGCAGCTCTGCGAAAAGAATCACCGTGAGTGAGACGCGAAAGACAAAGTGTCTTGATAATGAAATATTGGTCGAGAAACCCATGCATCAATATTGATTGATTACGTAAGAACTGACAATGACTGATTTTGCATTTGATTTCGAATCCACGAAAACATAATCTGCTCAATCAAATTTATGTTTACATTAAACTCCAATAAGAGTTAATTGAATAAGTATCTATTATCATTACAATTGCCACTGCCCTGCTGCCATCGTAGCCACCACGGTTCGATAACACCGTCATCACAACACGTACCATTATCACCGCCCGTAATACAGGATATGCCATTGAAAATTTAACGAATAATTATCTATCGCCACCACCGCCGCTACCGCTGCCACCAGCACCACAACTACCAACAGCAGCAGCAGCAGCAGCAGCACCACCACCACCACCACCACCACCATCCCCACTACCATCGCCGCCACCACCACCGCCGCCGCCATCGTCGCCACCAACCCCATCACCACCACCAGCACCACCAACAACAACAACAACATCAATAACAGCAACGACAACAACAACACGCGCTCCACCATCGTTCTCTCTCTCTGTTTCTTTCATTCTTATTCTCTTCATCAACATTTCTCTCTCTTGTTCTGACTCACTCTCCTCTCCGTCCTTCTTTCTCACGTCCCTTCTGTCTGTCTCTCTCTCTTTCTTTCTTTTGCCTCCTCTCTCGCTATCTGTTTCATTCTCTCTACATCTTTCCCCCTCTCTCCCGTACTACTTCTATCTCTATCTATCTCCATTTGTATCTCTCTCGCACACGTGCCCTCATTTTCTCCATCTACAGGAATGTCCTCTTCCCTATCGCTTATCAAGCCCCCTTTCTCCCCCAGCATGTCTATCCCTATCTCTCCATCATTCTCTACTCGTTCTTTTCGTTCTCACTCGCTCCGTTTCCGTCCACGCTCATTTCTGTTCGCTCGCTTAAGCATTCCTCCGATGCGACATGGAAAACTAAAATGTGAACGCTTTATTCGACATAATAACCGCTTTCCGTGCGATTTTCGTAAACGGTTTCGTCTTTCTTCGCTATTAGTCCCACCGGCCCAGCTCTTTAATAACAATTACGGCAATTACGGCTTCGGCGACTCGATATTCAGCTCCGCTACGATAATTTACCGAAGCAGCGCCAATATGGACGGTGATCACAGGCAGCGAGTGAGCCAGACGGTGATTGATGGCCGGGAGAGTCGCGTGAATTATGGTGCGGCTCGAAAGCGCACGTGCAAAAAGTTGAGAGCGTAATTGGAAAACATGTCTCTCGATTACACGAGGATTTAGTGCGCGGCGTGGCTGCGCGCTGCCTCCTTACGCGCTGGTATGCGAGAGCGAAGCGAGCTAAAGAGAGAGAGAGAAACAGAGAGTGCGCGCGCGAGAGAGAGAGAGCGAGAGAGCGAGAGTGAGAGTGTGAGAGAGAGAGAGAGAACGAGAGAGGGCGAGAGAGTGAAAAAGAGAGCGACCGATAGAAAAAAAAAGAGTGAGAGAGAGAAAATGAGAGAGGGAGAGAGAAAGAGAAAACGAGAGATGAATCGGCTGTTGCAGCATCGGAGCGGAAAGCCTGTGAGTGCCAGGCTAGCTGAGGCTTTATCGCGAGCGATATAGACTTACACGGTCTCCCGGCTCGCTACTAAGTGCATATGCGGCTGCATGTAGGGACGCCATTGTCTCATGTGCAAGCAGTGCAAATTAAGATGGCTGACTGCGATGATGCATCGAGCGTCGTCTCCGTTACGACCACTGATTGCGCGTGCGTGTGTGCGCCTGGGTGTGCGTGTGTGCATGCGTGCCAGAGTGTGCGTGTGTGTGCGTGCGTGCGTGCGTGTGTGCGCCTGAGTGTGCGTGTGTGTATCATCCTCTACCGCCGCCGTCATCTACTCCAGCACGACGGACAACATCATGGACACGATGGTGCGCAAGCTCGAGTGCTACGCCAACAACCTCGAGGAAATCGTCGCCGAGCGAACGCAGCTGCTCGAGGAGGAGAAACGCCGCACGGACACGCTGCTCTGCCGCATGCTGCCGCGCAGCGTCGCCGAGAAACTGAAGAGCGGCGACATCGTCGCTCCGGAGTCGTTCGACAGCGTGACGATCTTCTTTTCGGACGTTGTTGGCTTCACGTCCATCTGTTCGCGCAGCTCGCCGCTGCAGGTCGTCGAGATGCTCAACACCCTCTACACGCTTTTCGATGACGTCATCGGCAAGTTCGATGTCTACAAGGTGCGTGCGTGACGCGGTGGTGCGTCGCAGTTCCTGTACGCGGCTACATGTGATGGTGGGAGAGGGAGGTAGTGGAGGATGAATGGAGGTTCGAAATGCACGCGCGCGCCACACGTTCAACGCAGCATTGTTAACAATGCTATATAGCGTTATTCCTATACTCGCGAAATGGCCGCCTCCGGCGGCCATATTCGCTCGTTACGCTGATAGGACTACGATGATTTCTCTAAATCCCGGCCCGATTTATAGTAATCTCTTAGTAAAATATTGACTTGATACGAAGACAATAATACAAGGATCTTGTTACTAACATAAAAAATTTTGTCCCGGTACTTTCATTTCTATATAAAACACTTTGTACACACGTTCTAATCCATTGTTTTTCTCTTCAATATTTATTTTTTGCTAATATAATATACGGAACCCGCTTAATACGATTATTTTTCTTTGCCCCGTCAGTTTCGTACTAACGGGGTGCGACTGTAGTAATGAATAGTAGTAATTGAATGAGGAGTTTATGCTTTGCAGTAATTGTATCTATTTGTGAACAATTTAACGCTACTAAAGTTCTTAATTATACATATAAACCTATATAAAATACCTTGTACACATACACCCTGTAATCCATAATTTTTTCTTTGTTAATTCGCGGCTAATATATGTTGAAGTGGTTAATACGAAACCCGCTTAATACAATTATTTTTCTTTGGCCCGTCAGTTTTCTACTAACGGGGTTTGACTGTAGTAATGA